GCCAGCCAGAGCCTTGAGCATAAACTGAAGGATTTCATATGTGTGTGTGTGTGTGTGTATGTGTGTGTGTGTGTGTGTGTGTGTGTGTGTGTGTGTGTGTGTGTGTGCCAGATGGTGAACCCACAGCCTGTCTCCTCCACAGCCGTGAAAAGAGAGGGATCAGCGGCATTTTGACAGGCTAACATGAAAGCGTCACCGTAAACAGTGAGTGGGGGAGTGATGCATCCAGATCATCCCGCTGAAACCTCACTCACCAACACTGAAAAACATTAAAAAAAAACAATCCTGCAAGAGTTTATTCTGAATTGTATGCTTGGTTCAACTCTTCCCCAGGTTGAGCCACAGTACAAAATGCAGAGCAAGAGAAGGAGACAAGGTCATCTCCTTCAACCTCTGCTCTTTAGCATGTAAAAAGCATGAGTCACTGAATCGATAATCATGACCGTATGTTTATATCAGCTTGTAGAAACGCTTGGTCAGCTACACAGAATGGCTTTTCTGACCACAAAATGTACACTACTAGGGTACAATCAATTTCTTCACCAAGAAACTGTGTTGCAGTATTGCTATTACTGCTTAGTGATGGCTGTCAGAGGGGGTAATCCATCCTAAGAGAGCATTTGCGATGGACTTATTCAATTTTACATCTAATCATCTTTTAGATTTCTTGCTACTTGAAATTCGAAAACGGAGCAACCATGAAACCCTCGGGGAGATTCAGTCTAGACTCCTGAACATGAACAAAACAAGCAGCCTAAGGAGAAGACCACTGAACATCTTGCTTGTAAACAGTTCCAAGACAGACTTTCCAATCATTTGTCAAATAAAATATAAAATGTAGATGTTTATTCTAATGATTTTATATTATAGCCATCCATAGTAGAGCTTTTACAAGCATAGAAGAGGACACTGAGTCAATGAGCAAATCGATTCAATCCAGGAGTCGACTGCTGCATTATAAGAGGTGCTTCTGCAATGCAGATGGCAGTTCTGTATACCATTACAGCAATCTATAGTGCATAGCAGAGGGCATTAAACTATCAAACTACATACTGTTCAAGCACCATACAAACATTATAGTGTCTTTACACTCAGATACACAAACACACACATCAACGTTCATACAAGCTATTATGCCAATTTAGCTACTCCTGCATAAGAGTTTCCAGTATTGACCCTCTCAGGTCTTCTGCAGCTGACATCTAAAAGGCTCTCTGAATAATTAATCAGATAGCTAAACTATAAGAAACAGGAAAATGAAGCTCCATCGTCCTGGAAAGTGGCCACGGTTACACCGATTTTTAAATCTGGGGATAAGGCAAAGATGTCCAATTACAGACCCATCAGCATCCTCCCCTGTGTCTCTGAGATAGCTGAGAAATGGGTGTCAAAACTAATCACCAAAACATTTAGATAAAGGTTTCGCTCCACTCCACCCAATGCGGTTTGGTTTTCGTGCTCACCACTCCACTGAGACAGCTAACTGTGTCTTTGTGGAAAAGGTTGAATGTATGTTGGACACGAGCCCATATGTACGTAGGTGCTGTCTTCCTTGATCTCAGGAAGGCCTTTGACACTGTTGACCACCAAGTGCTCCTTACAAAGCTGACATATTTCGATTTTTCGGCAGATTCAATACAATGGGTTAAGTCTTACTTATCGAACAGTACATTACATTAATGACTTGCCTAATGTATGTCCTGATTTGAATGTACAAATATATGCCGATGTTAATGTAATGTACTGTTCGATAAGTAAGACTTAACCCATTGTATTGAATNCAGATTTAGCTTTCAGCTAATTTCCATCCGCAGTCCCTCACATGAAACATTTAAGAAATGTACATTTTACAAACATTGTAAAAACAAAATACATATTATGCAAAAAGTGCAAGAGAGCAAGAGCAGCATACACAAGTATTTATGACATGGTAATACAATATAGCAGCAATGACATGTAAAGTGCAAGAGAAGATACAAGAGCTACATAAAGTGCAAGAGGAGTTACCCCTGTGTTAAAGTGTATTTAGCGGTGATTGCATGGATCTTTGTTTCTCAACTATTCTTTGAGTTGACCTTTGAAGCTATTGAGAGTGGGACAATCCCGTATCTCAGTTGGGAGGCTATTCCACAATGAGCTGCCTTTAATGGAGAGGACATTTTGTCCAAAAGTGGTCCGTCTACGGTGGACTTCAAAGTCTCCTCTGGTTTCTGACCTAGTGCAGCGTCCAGTGTGTTTTTTTTGTGTGGATGAATTCCCCTAAGGGAGGAAGGGGGGGGGACAGGCCATGTAAACAAATACTAAAACACATACTTTTAAAAGACTTAAAACTCAAGACATTGTGTTTTTCAAGGATGGTACAGTGGTGATATGAATTTGGCTTTCTGTCAAACACCTTGATAGCTCTCTTGTACAGCTGTTCTATGGGTTTGTGGCACAAGCAAACAACCAGTTTGTCAAACAGTATTCAATGTGGGATATAATCATACAGTGGAGGTATGACTTTGCAGCATTGACAGTTAAGAAAGGTCTGATTTGTTTAACATGCTGCAAGTTGAATTCAATGGTATTGGATACTTGATATGTTTCTTAAAATTCCAGTTTGAGTCCATTATGACTCCAAGATACTTGAAGTGGGGGACTAGTTCTAATTCCGCTCCGTTTAAAAACACATTGGACCCTTCGATTTTGACTGGTCGTTTACTGAACATCATGCACTGAACATCATGCATACTGTTTTTTTTGCATTTAACTGTAAGCAAATGTTGTTCAGTCAGTCAGTGTTGAACCTTGTCCAAAGGATGAGATTATTTCAGTCTTTTTGCCATGTACAAAGATGACCGCATCATCGGCATACATTTGCACATTCAACTCAGGACATACATTAGGCAAGTCATGAATGTACAGAGAAAACAGTAATGGTCCAAGAATGGAACCTTGTGGAACCCCAACAGGGTTCACAAGGTAGGGGGATTTGGCACCGTTGACCAAAACACACTGTTTTCTGTTCGATAAGTAAGACTNAAGCTAAATCTGGCACTGTTACGCTTGACACATTTGAATGTTTTAAGTGTTCATTACAGTGCATTGTCCCCGCGAAATAAACGATGAAATAAAAGAAACATGCTAATGCTAACCGGAAATGAAGGATTTTCATAATAAACGTTTTAAGTTAAAAGTGTGTGTGAACTTCCGATTTTTCAGAATAAAACAGCTTTAATTATAAGAATATATTTAATCTAAATTACGCCATATAAACATTGATTTTAATTTCTTAAAGTCTGCAGACTCATGTGAAACATCCGCCCCGCCCATCACCAGGCAGCAGACAAGCCAACACACCAGGTTTTTAACCAATCATGACGTATACAACACTCGAATCAGTGAAGTCAGTTTATATTCAGTCTAAGTGTTATTTCCAGACACACTTTCAAACAACGCCTCTAAATGTTCATTACCCCCGCTGTGCCTGTGAAGATTAGAAACCACACAATAGTCTGTTTAAACAAAAGAGCTCGCACAATGAAATTCATCTCAGTCAGATCAGATGAGTACAGAACTTGGGGCTTGAAATTCTCGCGGCGTCTTCTCACTGATTGGATGAAGAATTGCTGTCGGATCCCATTAAGATCCAAGACCATTACAGATTTGCACAAATGTCTGGAGCAGAATCATGCTAAAAATGCCCCGATTGTCTTGTTTTATAGATTTAATTACAAGTTGGATCAACGGCAAGAAGCAAATTGGGAATTTGTCCCATATTAGCCCTTTGACAATACCACATTTGATTAGCCCAGTTTAAAGTTCCTTACTGAGGTCACTCAGACCAATCTAATTTGGGATGGCAGATATTTTGGGATACTAAATGTTGTTATTATTTTGCCATTAGGACTGCTTGCTGCTGCAATGCTTTCTCAACCCGGCGACTTTCAGAGATATAGTGTCCAAGGTTGATCAAGACATCAACTGGCTTATGTGTATATATTATTATTATTATTATTATTATTATATATGTGGTGGTTATAACGCTCCTCTATGAAGAGTATAATGAGCCAACGCAGAGGTTTCTTTTGTGGGCCACAAGGGCTTTTATTAAAGAGACACAGTTGAAATTGGGAGACAGAACTATGACAATGTATGTCATTAAGTATGGTATTCATACTATGTTTTGCCTTTATTATTTCTTGTTGGCTGTTCTGTTTATCTTCTATGTTGAAAAAGAGAAGCATGATTTCCACCCCAAAGAAGCCTGTACTATTGCTTACACTTGTATGCTTCTTCTCAATACAAATATTTGAAAAGAAAATGGGAGACAGAGGGGATTACACTCCTAAAAGCTCCCAGGCCGGAGCATTCAAACCGGTATCTTGAGCACTGAGACTAAGCCCCCTTATGGGTCAGCCCCACAGAGGTTTCTTAGCAATTTTTTCATCCTTTACATAACACTAAAACAAGTGCAGCTGTAACGAGCCACACTGCAATAATGTCCAGACCACCAAAAAGCTATCCTGTTGGCCAGCTGCACACCTGCATTACTTTGGGACTCATGTTGATGCTTGCTCATGCTGAAGCAGGGCCGCTTTCCTTCCACATGGTGTACCCTACCATGAGGATTGTATGAGCGTGAGTGCGTTTAATCAGCAGAAAGAGATGGATTTGGACTCAGTAATCAGGAAACGGCTCAGAACACTTCATTGTAATTGGTTATGACTGCTAGACAAGGGTAAGTTACAAACAGGCAGGCAGGGATATTTTTAGCTCCTCCTGACCACATACCAACAGAAAGTCAAGAGGGGGGGGGGCTGGATTAAACAAGGCTTGTGGTCTCTCCTGACTTCATCTGATTACATTATGTAAAACAGCACATCCTGAGTTCAAAGAGCAAAGAAACAAAAGCAGATCAGACTCAGGAATGACTAATGGAAAAGCCATGAGCGCTGTAACCAAGACATTAATGTTACCATGTGGCCATAAACACACACACACACACACACACTCACCTTCTGTAGACTGGTGGGATTTAGCTGGGTTTTGTCTATAATCTTCACCGCCACCTAAAGAGAGAAAAGACAGGAGGACAAAGACAGAAGAAGAAAGGAAGAGGGACAGAGAGAGACAAACATGTCAACATTTTGTTTGTTTTTTATGTTTGGGTTGTACGGTGAAAGTTTGCTTTGAAATGAACTGTCCTCATTATTTCACTATTCAGCAGGGAGGCTGCTTCTTCAAAACATTTCACAGCTGAAGCTGTTTTATTCTGAATACACCTCAAAGCTCTTCTAATCAGTACATTGTAAATACATTAAAGCTTTTATTGGCCGACATAAAATAACAGATGTATTTGTTGATAAGGCATGATACATTGATGTGCAACTGAACATGTTTTCATTTCAATCTGCAGCTTGAGTTCTGAATAATCAACTGATCATTTGGTCTATAAAATGTTAGGAAATGGTGTAAAATGTCAGTCCAAGTTTCATAAATTCCAAGTTTGGGTCCTCAAAATGTCTTGTTGTGTCAGTCCAAACACAAAGACATTCAGTTTAATAAGATATAAAACAAAGAAAAGCAAGATATATCCATATCTTAGGGACAAACAAAGCATGTTTTGCTCTTTTTGCATGAAGAATGAACTAAATGCTTCATAATCGAATATCAAAAAAAGTTGTTGATTATTTTCAGTGTTATTCAGATCAGATCAGAATACCTTTATTCATCGCACAGAGAAATGTGACATTGTTACAGCCAGTAAAGAGCCAAAGATAGCTTAATATAAATGAAGAATCGTGCATACGACTATTAAAGATATTATGAGTGTAGTCTTTGCAGCTCGGACTAAACAAATGAATCCACAGGCAGTCCTTCTAAGTGTCCCTGCAGTCAGGCCCGTATTACTGCATATAACTCTGCAGGTCGGTGATCTACTGAACAAGACAGATCTTGCTAGGCAGCAGTCTGAACATCCATCTCTGTAATCACCCCAAAGTGCACACTGACACAGAGCTGCTCCCTTCACTTTCTGAGAGCTCAGCAGCTTTCACAGAGCAACTGGCTGCAGAACCACCAGAAGCCCATGTATTATGCCGATAAGTGATTGACAGAGCAGTTTTAAAATATAACTGTATTACACTTAAAAAATACATACAGTCTTTTTTGTTGCACAAAATGATTCAAAAATAATTAAACAGACTTAAGAATGGCTGACTAAATACAAATGTCTCCAGTTTTCGGTCCAACCAAAAGGCACTAACCACAAGATTTTCTCAGCAGTGCTGAAGAGAGCGGAGGCTTTAAGAAAAGCCCACTCAACCCACTTTGGAGCTGCTTTGGCCTAGAGGGGAGTTTAGACTCTTCAGCTGTTTCCTTTCGGACCATTTCACAAAGTAAAAACATTTAAATGTGTTGATGTGTATTCTCTGTTGCAGTGTTTGTTAATGTCAGTAGAAATAAACTCAGATTAAAGTTGGTTCAATTAATTTGTATGAACTGGTCTCCATAATAATTCTAACCATAGGCATAGTCAAAGGCACCATGTGGCTTTGCAAGTAGTAGCCATGCTAGTAGGAGTGCTTTGAGCTAAATGCTTACTTCAGCATGCCAACATCATACTCCTATCAATCAGAATGCTAACCAGGTATAAGGTGAGTAAGTGTCAGCGTGGCACATAATTCAAGGCTTGCAGAACCAGCAGGTTATAACATGATCATTTATTATATTAAAATTCCCTGTGGACTTATATTGATGACTACAGCTGTGAGAAAGGACTCCTGAGCAAAGCTTAAAGATTTGATCTCCTATATGATGTACTGACTACAACACGAGAACCGACTGATATTTATATTAAATCCTCACTGAGGTCACTCTACTCAGTAAAAAGTAAAGTACATCATTTTGTAATAACAGCAAGTATAAAATAATTCAGGCTTACATATCATTGGGAAGATAACAAATACCAAGTCTTTGAAGGGATGTATAGATATTTTTCTTCTAAGCTGAATCAGGAGCCACTGCAACACTGACTGCTGCTTTATATATATTTTTCAAACAGTACATAGTTAAACTATCAAGAGTCCAGACATGAGTATAGTTAGCTCATTCTGTCTTTGTCGCCCTGTATGTTTAAATGTTCACTAAGATTCTTACGCACTGACCTCTCATAAGTAGAGCGGAAGGGGAGAAATTATATCATAGCAGCATTAATGTGACTCCAGCCTTATGAGAGTTTAATAGCATGCTTCAGTGGACGCAGACTCTGGCTCTAATCCCAAGCTGTTATAGGGAACCAACCCTTACCCATGAAGCAAATACTGAGTCACGACAGAGAGAGTGCAGAGTATTCTGACCAAACAGGGTTTCCCTAAGACCTACAAATCAAGGTGCATTTCATTTAAACTCAACTCAACTCCATACAGAAAGCAGTGTGGTAGTTGTGAAATAAATAGAGTCTAGCAGTTTGAAAAGAGAGCAGAGACTGCAGAGAGCTCACTGTGTGTAGACAGACACGCAGCAACACACATGTGGGGTCTATTTGCAGCCTGTCTCAGGTGGGCAGGTGCACAGAAAGACCTCCATCCTCTCCTCTGTGCTTCTTCCCGTCATGGACAGAACTCAGGTGGAGGTTTGCATGTGTGTGTATGTGTGTACATGTGTGTGTTTTCATGTAAGCCTGCAGGTGTCGAAGCTGTTCTCGTGTGTGACTGTTAACCTTACAATATTCCCTTTGCGTGAGTCAAAGATGTTAATTTCCTTTACGCTACGCTGTAACAATATTTCCCTTTTTAGTTTTGGATTGATTTGATGAACGAGCGGATGGCATCAGATCACATGTCAGTGTGTGTTTTCAGTCCATTAGATTGAAGGGTGAATAATTAAGTCGGACAGTGACAGAAGGGCAAACGAACATCACTGTTAATTATTCAGCGCGTTCAAAACACATCGCCCATATGGTCTTCACCGTATGCAGGACGTGTGATCGTGGGCATTGTAAACACGTACATGTGAATGTTAAACCAGAGGACACGGAAGGGAAACTTAGTCATATCGCATCACTTCTGTGCTGAAGAGCTTTCGTGTTCACACACATTTATTTCCCCCTGAGCTCTTTTTACACAACCACAGGGTCATGATCTCTGTGAGCTAAAAGGAACTAGTGCAGCAGGGAATAAGGATGTATCTCATACATACAGAAGAGAAAGGCTTTGCTGTTGCTAGAGAATGAGAATACACAAAGTCTACATTATGTACATACTATTATTTTATTGTCAAATGTATTTCTTAGCAAGTATGCTTTCGAGTTGTCTGTCCATCCCATTCTTGATACAGTATCTTATGATATCTGAGAAACAAAAAGGAGTTTGATCATTTTGCAAAAAAGCGTACATTCCGAATCACAAGCTGCCGCCCAAATAAACAAATATTATTTTCGAAAACTGATTTACAAAACGCTATGACAAATGTATGCAATATCAAGTAGCAACATACATTTTTTTCCAATAAATAATTAAAACAACATTTGATAAAATTAGATGAGGACTAGGACCCCATTTACACGCAAACGAAACGCAAACGAACCGAATATGATACAAAAAAAGTCTTCCGTTCACAAGAGACCGCTCGAAAGCGCTGGAGACGTTGTAGTACATTATGCCAGGCCTGTAAGAGGCGCTGTACTTCTGCTACAAAATAGCAGCAGCGAAGAAGACACCCGAGCATGGTTGCCCTTCTGTTTATGCCCCGTGGTGGATTTAGCAACATGTAGTTCATGTAGTTCTCCATGTCCACTTGTTGCTGAAGGTTGTGGTAGAGGAGCTGTAGATGTTGCACTAACATATGTAGCATGGTCAGTAGCAGTAGCACTAGCAGTAGCTACTGACCATGCTACAGCAGTGAGCAGCAGAGGTGGGGAGAGGCGGGGCTATGGCTTCATCGTTATCAGGAAATGATCGTATAGGACGTACACACTGAGCCGTTTGGCCCCCCAGAGCGTTCCGTTTGTAAATCTATCCACCTTGTCTATCGTTTGCGGGGTCCGTTTCCGCCTTTCCGTTACGGCCTCGTGTGAACGAACGGGCTATACGAAAGAGAAAAGTAGCAGATACAACCGTTTGCGTTCTCGTGTAAACAGCACCTAGGTTATATCCTTACAATACAATTTGAATTACTGTTTTTATTCAAGTGATGAATAATAATGTATCATCACTCCTCTCTAGTGGGTTGGAGATGAGCGCATATGGTTCAGGCAAATGTTTCGATGCAGCTGGGTTAGTGTGTGTGTGTGTGTGTGTGTGTGTGTGTGTGTGTGTGTGTGTGTGTGTGTGTGTGTGTGTGTGTGTGTGTGTGTGCATCCTGTAGTCACTCTTCAGCAGATAGACCACACTGTCACCTAGAAGTGACAGCTGCGCTGTCTTCACAGATCTCTTTTTGAGGTTTTTCTACAGTGGAAAAACTTTTCTTTTAGTTTTAGCTTCCAGAGAATGTTTGTTGTTAAGAGGCTTCCTGGGCTAAAGCTCAGATAGACATCGGTTTTAGTGCGTTATTTTCTTTCCACCTGTTCTCTCACTCTGATCCATGTCTTTGCATTCTGATGAGCCAGCAAGGGCACTCAGGCACACAAAGCAGCGGCTGACCTTCTCAGCAAACAGTGGGTAGCATACCCAATATGCCTGTTTAACATTAGCATTAAAAGGACACAGAATGGATTAAACTGCCATTGATCTGACCTGGGAACATGTTCCTGCTCTCCATACTCTGATACGACCAAGAAATTAATTAAACTCAGAGGTTTAAGGAAGCAGGTGGGTAAAAAACAGACATGAGAGGATAACTGAGGTGGATCTGTCTGGGCCTGCTGAGTGAAAGACAGAGAACAGATCTCAGGTCATTGTTTTCTCCTTAGGGAAACGGGAGCTTTAATTACAGACACACCAAAGCAGGATGTCTATCACTCTGACAGGTCATCAGTGTATGGCCGTGTGAGTGTGTGTGAGAGACAGAAAGAGAGAGAACTTGACCTGACCTGACTGGGGGAACTAACATGGTCGAGTACAATTTTCAATATATTTTCAAGAGATCATACATTCCTCCTAAGAGTCGGATCAAGCCAAAAAACTGGCTTTTACTTGGATCGAAGATACGTATCAGAAAAAAACACTGTCTCTGAAAAATAAATATACCTTTATCTTTCTAACACTTTGGTTTCCCTTGTGAATGTGTAAAACTGCAGCTCAAATGAGAAAGCAGACAAGAGATGACCTCAATAACACTTTTTCAATAAGCTTTCTTACATTGTTATCAGAAATACAATCGTGCCAAAAATTCACTTGTTCTCAGATTTGGTTTCATGGTCTTTCTTGTTAGTAATTCCAATATCTTAAAATCTGTTGGTCAACTCGGGCTATTGGATGTTGAGATGGACACTTTTGACAATTTTCTGACTATTACTATTGATTAATCGAGAAAACAATATCGATATTAACCAATAACGAAAGTAATGGTAAGCCGAAGTCCTAATAGTTAGCGTGTAGCAAAAAAAGACTGAGCCTGACAGTAGATTTTGGGATGAACAATGTTTTGTATACAGACAAAAATGATATCCCTAAATGATTTATTAACCACAAAAGGAATTTTGTCTCACCTCTCGTCCAGTCAGGACATGTCTTGCTAGCTTCACCTTGGCGAAATTCCCCTTCCCAATAGTCTTGAGGAGGCGGTAATTGCCAACATGGGGGTGCTCCTCCGTGGAGGTAAAAGAGTTGCGGCATCTCGGCAGACTGTGGCGACTCGCAGATTTTGTTGGCGGGACTGGGGGTTCAACAAAGCCGTCCACCGACGAGTGCTGCAGGAGAAAGTCACACAAGTCGAGATCAGAAACATTCTCATTCCATGACTTCAACTTTGGAGATTTTGTACATATATCATTTCTACACATTTCTCAGTGAGAGACTTAGAAATACCAAAAAGGAAATGTTCTCTTGCTACATTTGCTGCACACATAACAACGCAGTAGCATGCTGCAGTGGAGAATGATGTGTGTGCCAAAGGTGGTATATTAGCTGTTCAAACACAGATGAACCCTTCAACCTTGATCCAGATTCAAGTTGGCGATCCTTTATTTGACATTTGCATGGGTGTGTGAGCATATATATACTGTACATTTACATGCAAAACACACAGTAGTACAATGTATGCAAGACAAAGGGAAACTGTGTTGGGGAGAATCAGGTTCCCTTCTTCTCTCTGTGACACCTTAACCTCAAAATACTTGATCAGCCAAAGGACAAGATTCAACCCCAAAAGAAATGAAACTACTTCGACTTTGAGATTGACCTACTAAATGTTCAGGGTGAAGAGTTATAACTAACTACTAGCTCCACGGTCAAACCTGTTACCAACAAGTGTCCCTGTGAAATGACATGTGAAGGTGAATACGGAACAGCTTGCTATAAGGACGGCGCTGGCACAGTCTCTGCTGCTGTGTCTCCTCTCCTCCACGGCAGCTGCTGATGTCAGTCCAGGTCAGAGATCCCATGATCCTCTGCTCCTGAGCACCACGCCCAGCCAGAGAATAAAGCCTTGCTCTGGTTACCCATGCTCCCCTGCTCCCGTTTCAAAGGGGAAACGCTACACCCTGCAGGGTGAGCATCACCTTAGCTAGCAGAAGGGAGGGAAAGCTACGCTGCAGGATTCAAACACTCCCTCAGTGTCACAGTGTGTGTCTGTGTGTGTGTGCAGAGGGCAAGGAGAAATGATTAGATTAGATGCCAGTCAAAGTCAGCATTCTCGTTTCTAATGCACCAAAATCCTCTTGTAGGTTTCCATGGCAGAGTAGCTAGAAGTGTCTTTATTACATTTGCAGCTAGTAAATGTCCACATTAAAGTGCCTTAAGATCTTTCCTTTAACTTTTAAATCAGACCTATTATGAGGCTAGTTCATACTTCATGCAAGTTCATACACAAACTCACACTGGCTCCAAAATCTGTAAAATTGACAAAGGCTGATCTGGATAGGCAGCACTTGATTAACACACAAAGTTTGTTTCATTTAAATATCCATCAACTCCTAAGCACTGATGTTATTACTTATGGGAGTCCGTACACTAACAGAATAAACCACACCTGGGCAGACACACAAACATAAAAATAAGAAAGCCGGGAGAGAGCTTCTTCTATTTGCTGCACTTAAAGACACTCGTCTCTCTGAGTAATAAGCTGTTATGCAATGCAGTTCAGCTGCTAGTGGGCCCTTGGGCTGCATGATGAAGTCGAGCAGAGGCAGGCTTGCTGCTATGGAGGCAGGGACTTAATAGCAGCCTAGCAGTATATGTCTATGAAACCTAAAGCAGCATTACACAGTACATTAGCACTCATGTATTTCTGGATGTTGGCAAAGAATGAACAGATAGTTGATATAATTAGAGTTCATGTTATAACTTGCATTTCCCAATTTAAATATCTATAATATCACCTGAAGATGATTCATACAGATAGTCTAAAAAAGGAGATCCAAAATAGAGCCCTATTTTTATTACCTAGGAATAACTTTTAAAAGACTGCCTCTAGCTGTTTCCACTGCTTGTAAAACAATACAATAATATAAGGAGGCTTTAGTGTGTGCCTAGTCTTGTTTCCAGGAAAATCAGACAAATCTAGATATGTCAGAGTCTGTCAGCATTCACACAACAGCCCTCATTTGCACTGATCTCAAAAGATGTGTGCTATTATGCTGTGCTTTGTCAGAGTGAGCTGCAGGGTGGCCGTTCAGAAAAATTCCTTCACACAATGCATGATAAATCTCCAGCCATTTATTTAGCCTGTGAATAAATATATGTCTGTATCAGTGTCGTGGTAGCAGAATTGTGAATAATACCACGCTCCCTCCTCCTCTTCCTCCCTCATCTTCAGCGTGCAGTTACAACAAGGCCCAATAGGTGATGGATGTCACATTGCGATGCTACCAAGCGCTGCCATTGAAAAGTAGGGCAACATCCTCCCCCACCCTCCCTAAATATTGACGTTGTGGACTAGAAAATACCCCCAGTTGCACGCGTGGAGCAACACCATTTTTTCAACAGGCAACGTTATCATTCTCAACACTAACATTCAAGCTTCGCATGTATCATTAAAGCACAGCACACTGACGCAGTGCGTTGTTTAGGCTAGCTGTATTGTGTACAAGAACTGTGGCAGACATAATAAACCTGCAGCTTTCTGCTCGGTTATTCGTGGTTTGTGTTCCCTTCAGAAAGAATTAAGATAAATATAGTGCTCATTGGTCGAGTGTCTCTGCAGCCCTAGCTTCTGCAAGCACTGCCATAGCCCTGCACCTAGCAGTGCGCCAAAATAGCCAGTTAGCCAGGTCACATTATTCCCACCCCACCGACGGTATCGCACCGGTGTCCCCGGTTAACAGCACTTACGTTCTCGGTGTCCCGCTCGTTCACCGTGGGCAATGGCGTTCTGGTCGACATCGTGTGAGCTTCGCAGGCCGCTCAGCAGTGCAGCGGGCCGGGCAGAGCAGACACGGTCCGGCGGGGAGAGCGGTGCCTCCTCGGTCCCCTCTCTACATCCCCTGTAAACACCGCAAACAGCGGCCTGTTTACCGCAGCATAGCGCTAGCAGGGCCAAGGCGGCACGCCAGATATTCGTATGGGCTTTGTGCACTTCCCCTCAGGTAGGCTAGTGGCAGACAGAAAAGGGAGGAAAGAGAGAGAAAGAGAGGAGGGGGGTCGGCCAGGATGATGAGTTGCGAACAGCGAGGTCTGCGCAGCGCATCTCAAACCTCCCAACAGGAAGGATGGAGCTCGCTCTCTCGCTCGCTCGCTCTCTCTCTCTCTCTCTCTCTCTCTCTCTCTCTCTCTCTCTCTCTCTCTCTCTTACACACACACTCTCCCTTTGTCTCCTCTTTATAGCTCATTATTCAAGTCACCAGAAAACAGTTAAGCACAGTGTCCCTCTGATTTAACTGTAGGGCGTGTACAGATCGGTACAGATACAGAAATGTTGTATCATGCATGCTAGGGACAGATTAAGTTTTTTTTTAAGGTGGCTCAGTTATGGCTGGAATTATTTTAATAAATATTATTTTTGAATGCGTCAACTTATCCTTGTTGAACTTATTTTTTGGTTTACAGCTCAGTAATTTACTACTGCGTGTGGTGTGTATGCATAGACAATGTGGTCAACACTGTCCACAATGAGGCCTAGTTCAAGGGTGAGGCCTGTGTCACACTGCAAACTGGACAGACTTTGCCATCTGTTGGACAATTATATCATTACACCTCTCATTGTTTCTGTAATGCTATTTAAACAAATAAACATTTCTTTGTTTGTTAGTGAGCATGGAACAATTGTGCAATTTTATGCAGAGACAGATTTTCTGATTCTCGTCCATAAAATCACTTTATCTAGGCGTGGTGATGATGGTGATGATGATGATGTCGTGTGCATCCATGCAGTCTATGGTGCACACGCAGCCTTTGTGCCTGCACAGTTTGTCCACTAGGTGTCAGGCTGCACCTGCAGTATGTTGCACATCTGCAGTGTTGACATGTGGGGCCCAAACAAATAACACCATCTCTCATCTTTTCTTGCTTGATTTACCTTCATCTTTGATCCTCTGCCTCATGAGTCATGAAGGCTCTGACACTACATATTGTGAATAGTAACATGCAGTGCAACAGGAGTTAGTTTCCATTACTGAGTCTCTTACATGAGATGTCATGTCTTCTTTGGCTCTACATTAGTATCATGTAATTCAGGCAGACAGTTGCACCTTCCTGGGCATTACATGACTGATGGTTTGTCTCACACAGCAGAGAGGCCCGGCCATACAGTAACAATGGACACAGCATGACATTACGTGTCACAAAACCTGATGAATATAGGACCTGAAAGCCACTGAGGACATTAGGTCTATTTTTGTGGTTTTGAGGAATCTTTGGTTTATATTACACCAACCACAAACTCAGCACTGTAAGATCTGCTCAGAGAGCCACCATCCTGTTTCACGTCAGGTTAAAGTTCGTAGATAAACTTAATTTGAAATATGTTGTCTTATAATTGTTTTTATTGAGAGATAGCAGAAATAAATGCAAAGAGATAAGATGGGTGAAACAAAGCAAAAGGGGTCCAATGGTGAATCTTGGCGAGTAGATGGGCATTTTTGGAATTCTGCATCTGATCCCAGCATGGATCAGGTCCCAACATAGCAGCTCTTATCCTCTCTGAGCCCTGACAACTGGGAGCAGCTAAATTATCCAACAAGACACATCCTCTTACTAATAATACTTACATATTTGGCTGTGTTTTGCTATTATCTATTTTAGATTTGACAACATGTACCCTATTTTTAAGCAATATAATGAACTAAACAACATTTGTTTTCTACTTGGAAAGGTAAATTCAATCCAAAAACAATCAATGCAATTCATTTTTTACTTGTTGCATTGTATTGAATTGTTCAGTGCCCTCATCCTTAGCGCTAAAGCATTCAAAGAAAGACGTGTTCGTGTCTGGGATTTGCATTCTGTACCTGAGTTGCACTGCTGTGGAATGTAATGGGCACTGACACTGGTTTAATGAGTGCATGTACACCCAGGGCCAAATGCAATTACATGCTCTCACAGGCAACCATCAAAAAAGTGGCAGCTGTTAACCGCCATTCATCGCGGATGGTCATGCAGTTAACTGTATTTGCAGGACAGGGGTTGAGAGGAAAGAGTAGAAAGATAGAGGGGGGAGAGGATAAACTCATTATGAGACAGATAGTGGAGTAGCATCTGTCAGCACTGGCACTTTACCATGACTCCTTTTGCCTGACTCAGTTTCACCAGTGAAAGTCATGCCATGCTTTTCCAGTCAGTAACACTGTTGCACACATCCTGCAGGAGTGTGGGAAATACCACGAACAGCCCCTCCAGGAAGGAAGATGTTTTGTAGATTTTTAAATTCTCACATTCAGTGTGTGCCTCTTGTGTATTACCACTACATTTGAGTACAGACATAAACCTGTGAAAAATAATAACCTAGAGATGGTTGATGAGGTTGTTTAAGCCTTAATACTGTCCTGAGGGTTTATTTTTTCGATATCCTCAAAGACTCCCAAATGAAACAATTTATGTCCACTGCATGAAAAACAGTTTTTACAATATCTTCTATGCAGATGGTAAAATAATTACCTGTCCTGTGTCTTTGGGCAACACAAGCAATCCATTTGTTAATGTTAGATTAAGCCCATAATTTGAGCCCCAAAATTGACAATTTGTTAAAAACCCATACAGCACAACCAAATATATCATCTTTTGTATTTATCATCCAGCAGAGAGAATGTTTTCAGGTGGTTTGGAGAGTTTTGGAGGATTCTGGAAATATCTTCAGAACAGCCATATGGGTTTAATGACATTCCCGGTATGTATTTTTCAGAAAACTGATAGCTCAGTTCTGTCAATGAAGTTTAATGGTAATATGACAGACACAAAACTGAGGTTGCCTCAGTCGAGACTTATGGTCTAGTTTATTTGAAAGGAACTTATGCCAAAATGATTAAGTCCGGTTTTGATAAATACAGCCAAACTCTGAAGTCTGTATTTTAATGTCCTATAGCACACGTTGTAGGTCTAATAACCACTCGTCAATTTAAGCTAATATCATATTAGTATACTATTAAAAATAAAATAGTCATCAACAGACATTCCTTCTTTAGAAACCTGTTAACTGCTCACCTTACAAGGCAGAGCATGCACTCGGCTGTCTGCTCTGACAAGTCAATAAAACCCACTGGTATGCTGAACATTTTTGGAAGGCAAGATAGATATGAGGCTGCGTTGGAATTTGATCAGGCAGAGAGCCAGCCTCCTGTTCATTACAGAGCTTTCCAGCAGTAACACACCCTCCCGGTGAGCACACCTCAACCTGAAGAAAAGTATTACTGACTGGCACGTCAACAGCCCACGCCCACCCTTGGCCTCCCCTCCACCTGCCTGTCTTCATCGCTGTCACACATGCATGTACTCACACACGCTGCATTCAGTACACACACACACACACACACACACACACACACACACACACACACACACACACACACACACACACACACACACACACAAGGGATGTCAGGGGAAGTGGAAACTATGAAAAGCCCTGAAAATCCAGGGCAGATGTGAGCTGACAGGGCGAGAGAGATTGAAGTGGATTGGGAGCAATGGGTGTAAGTGAGAAGCTCAAAATTAAGCCTCAAAACTGTATCTTTTCAGCACATTTCTTTGGGTTGTTTTATGGGAGAGAGAGAATGGAAATGAAATACTAAAAATACTTAATTTTGTCTAACTCAGAGAGACTACAGGCTCTTGTCTATCTTGTGATTTTGAATCAGAATTAAAATTAGAATAAAAAAACGTTATAATGCCCATAACAGGAAACTTATAGTGTTATGTTGATTTTTTCATTGCTGGTATGAACAAGAGAAACTATGTCAGTGTCCATATTGGCTCCTGAATTTAAGGACAGACTTAGAATCCTATCCTTTAATGCGGCTTGGTAAGAAGGAAAATGTAGCATACTGTATGTGTAAGGAAGCCCCTCTTATGACCCTCCTTTGAGGATTATCTCCCTTTAACTGTTTCCTCCTTTACCTTGACTTTGAACAAATCAAGACTTTCTAGCCAAACCTCAAACCATTACTGGGGGCTTTATTAATTATGGATGATTTCAAGATTAGTAATAGATTGTTAAAAAGGAGGGCATGTTCTTTGCAAATGTGCTTAGTGGGTGTTAATTAAGTAGCCACTGTTTGAAGCATGGCCTGTGGGCCTTTTCCTTATCCTCACCCCCCCCCCCCCCCNCCCCCCCTTGCCACTAAGATCTATGTTTCTTTGCTCGTGTGTGCACACCCTGCACTATTACAGCAGCTCAAGCCTCCCCTGAATAAGAAAACACTTCTTCAGCTGCATTAACATGCTGCACTCCTGAAAGGTCCTCTTTTGATCGAGCAGCTAATGATTAACACAACACGGTGTAGCAAGCCCTTAGAGGAGATATATAAACCTTTCCCTTGATATGAACTTGTATCATAAAAAGCAATGCCACTTACGGTTACTGTACTTGGGGATAATTATCATCCTTGTATATCATGTTTTCCCTTGTAATTATGTCATAATTCAAAGGCTTCCCCGGCAAAACTAGAAACGGTCCGATACGTCACCATGTAACAAACTCTTCTCTGAGGAACGGGCCTATTAATTGTCAGGATATAATTACATTCACAACACCCAGAGGGCCCGTCTCGTTTAGTCATCTCAGAGTTACTGCTCCAAACTATAATTAGAGAATGTAATCACACAGGTATGGACCTCCAGGATTTATTTTTTCAGCCCGACTGAAGGCTGATTGAAATGACATCTGTGGTTGGGTACCAGGCAGGGAGTGTTTACGATCTGGCACGTGTTCAACAGCCACATGTGGTGGCACCGGGCAGCCATACCATACCTGCAGAGTTCACAATTTACATACACAAACACACTCCCATGGACGGTTGGTCCTGCTAATTTGTTTGACGTGTGTATATTCGTGTTACCTTGAGCGATTTCTTGAGTGGCATGCGCGCGTGTATGTGTGTGTGTGTGTGTGTGTGTGTGTGTGTGTGAGAGTGTGTCTCCCTGTGAATGCCCCTGTGTGGTTATGCCACCATAGTGTGGCAGCGTTTGCCAGTGTTAACAAGTGACTTCATCTTATAATATCTTTCCGATCTCAGATGCCATCCAATAAACGACTAATTTCTCACCTCTGGGTGCACTCTCTCTTGCCGTGAAAACACCTCTTACCTCTCTCCCTGACACCCACTCTGAAAGACCTCAAGACGGGGAAACATTTAGCAACTGCACGCTATGAAGTGATTGTGAGTGATCTCCCAGTTAAAAGTGATTAATCTCTTGAGTTTCAACAACATTTGTTTGATGTGGGCCCTGGGGTTAAACCTGGATAAGTGTGAGGCCAGTGGATGTCTAAATTAATGTGGTGTTGCTGCACTGTAAAGCCTGAAACCATTCAATTCCTATCTCATATTTTCCTGTCTGTTTTAAGTCACACTAGTTGCATGGCTCTAGTGATGGCAATCTGTGCAAGGTTTGAGTGGCTCTTTAAAATAATATTGGTTTGTTTTTACAAAGTAAAACATAAAATATGTCATCTTCCTGACATGACTCCAAGCTCTCTGGCAATTATTTGTTGTAAACTGAACTAAAGGCACATCTGTTTACTGTATGCACCACAGAGAAAACACAAAATGTAAACTAAAATATAAAGATATCTTAAAGTGGACCTATTATGCTATATTGGAAAAATATATTGTAGGGTCATACAAAACATGTCTGTGAAGTTTTTTGCTTAAAATACCAAACAGTTCACCCATTGTAGCCATGCCTCATAGGCTCCTACTGCTCAGACCCCTCTTTTGCAACCCTGTTAGAGAAATGCGGATTTTGGGTCCTTAGCTTGAAAAAAAAAAAGGAGGCGGAGCTAATGCCTGATCAGAATTCTACCGGAGATAAAGTTAAATTCGGTTGTGATAAAACGCCATCCTGTTCTAAACCACATCAAAGATTATTTCTGAAATAATATGGAGCTCAAATGCTTTTTCTCTTGTGGGTTTATCACAAGGTGAGTTCCTTTTTTTATTTCCTGCTTTTTCAACACATGTGCTCTACAGTACAGGTTAGCTCTGAGTGTTAGCGAGGCTTGCTAATGTACAGAAAGAAGAGATTACGTCCAAAACACGTCAGGCATTGTTTCTGATAGCAATTTTCTGTGCGATTTGACGTCAGATCGGCAGCGAATCTGTATCCACTCGTTGTACTCCTGTTTTTAAAAGATTTGGGTACTGAGGAAAAGAGAGAGGGTTTTATTTTCTGACGCTGCGTGAGTCCCCCGATGAACCGGGGACACATTTATGTATAAAAGACATCACAAAGTGCGTTTTGCATGATAGGTACCCTTTAAGTAAAGTATTTAATAAATACCTAATATTGAGGCTGGATCACATTGTATAGCAAATCAAATAATCCTCAATTAAGTTACTACAATAATTTTACTGAGAAATAATTTGAATCCTAATTAGTGAATCAGGCCCTGGAAGTAATATTATCTATGTATTGGAAATGCATGTATACCGTCATTTTCTCTAACTGGTATAACAAAACTGAAACATGTCCACTTGCTTTTTGGAAATGTTGACTGTGTAAATTAATGACTGTTTAATATTAACAGCTTTCTGAGATCTGAACCCAAACATGTTCAGAGTATAAAACAGTAAAAAAAAAGAGAGGACAGCTATTGCATCACTGGGATACTGTAGTGAGGAGAGCATCGAGGGTAACAAACATCCAATTTACAGAACTTTTTTTCATTTTTTCATCCCTGTGATCTACATCCAATGTCTGGCTTTGATCTATTTCATAAATCTAACCGTGATTAATGAAATGTCTAGCTATATGCTGGGAGATTAAGTTAATTATCCTCCGTTACCCTGAGTGGAATATTAATCAAGAACATGAAAAAGTTGCTCTTCTTTGGGAGTTCAGCACATGGTTGAGTCACAGAAAAAGTGGGTGAGCAATGTTTTCTCCTGGGGGTTGAATCATGCACGAACAGCAAAACACAGAGCTCCAATGAGCGACGAGCTGAAGATGGGGTTAGGGGAGCAATGACACATCGTGTATCATTTTACACGTCCCAACGCTGCTGACTAAATCTCTTAGACAGAAGAATGATTGAGTAACAACTTACCATTAAACCCCTCCCAACCATTTCACATCTAAATATGTTGTGTGTATATGTGTGTGTGCAGGATTCACATTTGTCCCTCAGCACACATTGACTCAACATACTATATTACTACATCCCCGCTGGAGCTCTTTAAATAAGATAGATATGATGGCTAGGGCATCATGTTCACTGCATTCATCATTGTTATATCCAGATGAAATCATCCTCACGTTTTCCCAAAAGCATTGGAAGAGCAGCGGAGCATATCACACAACCGCTGCATTTTCCATTATACTGTATATGATGTCAGATGTTGTTCACTGTGTTGCAATAACAGTGCAGAGCAGCTTTGTTTTCACACATTTGTTGTTTCTCTCTTTAGTTGTTAGATACAACAAAACAAAACAGAACAACCTAGCCCCATTTATCCATCATATTTTATTCAACAATATAACTTTTGCTCTTCAGAGTAGAATCAATATAAGATACATATGACAAAATATATTTTAAATAGAAGAGAAAATCATTAAGGCATTTCAATGAAGGAAGTCTTAACAGCATAAATGATACGATTAGTGTTACACATTTTTTACTGTATACCTCTAAGGCACTATGGCATTATTGCTGCTGGAACCACATAAAGACAGATCACTTTCTACACTTGAAGTGGTGACAACATGTTGGTTTTTAATGTGGTTTTCAGTGCTGTGTTTCTACAGTGTACAGTGTTTCAGCAATAAACCACAGCAGACCCGCGGAGTCACGAAAGGCAAAGCAGGTAGTGAAAGATTTCTCATTCTGCCAAAAGTGTGGTGACATTGTATTAACACTTTAATAATCCCCTGTGTCACACTATAGGGCAAAGCACTGTAATTATGTGTATCACGCAAGCCAGCCTGGTGCCAGTGTGTGACTCCATGACTGGGACCGACATAAGAAAGCTCAGCTGTTCCTCAGGAGAATCGCCGTGGCACCAGTGAGCGGTCACTTGGCCGAGGTGTGTTATGAAAGTTGTCATTTCCTGTGCGTGTTCTCGAGTTCAAAGAGAAATCTCTGTTATTGCCTGTCTAACTGAGGTCTGTGGGGATGGCATCACAGAAACGCATAAACACATCAACCAAACCTGGGGGCAGAGAACAAGCTCTTTCTCACTATTTCCCTTTATCTCCCTCTGTGTTTCACACTTTCACTTGCTTGCATGCATACAAAAAGCCAGCCAGCCACACACACACACACTCACACACAATCACACACAGATTTGTAACTTCAATATGTACATGACTTTACTCCTGTGAGTAAAGTCCACGTGCATCAAGCCTGTTTAAATGCGAAGTTTAGTACTCTCTCAAATAACAGGCACATTCCCTTCCTTTACACTTCTGAACTGTTCTGGACTTCTCTGGAAATTATTACTCATGAGTAAAACTATACAAAAACTTGCAGGAACAGTGTGGCGCAGCAGCACTAACCCCTACTACATGCATAAACAGAAGTTGTGATTTACAAGCTCCGTCATTTATTTGTATATAAAAAGCTGCTCATATTGGGTATTTGTCATGTACATTTATATAGAAAATGTGCTTTTTCTCTCTTTCATATGACATAGCCTTTCACGGATGCACACACAGGTTATTGAAAGCAAATGTGGTCTGAAACAAAGTGATTAATGTAGGTACGGCTGCATAAATACTCATCAGTTACAAATTGTGTCCACTAGGCCCCTTTTCCTGATTGCCACGGCTCTGTTTATTATTCTGGAAGGAGGGGAAGTAAATTAGATCCAGCATCTTATCTTTCTTAAATCCACCTTAGGCACAAAAACTTAAAAATGGTTCAACTCTAAAGATGAAAAATATATAAATTGTGAAGTGCTTTTGTTGAACCACAGTGCTTAATTCCTTAGAACACATTGAGAGAAAAGGTGCCCAGTGGTCAAATCACAGCATGGGCTGTCAAAAGCAAGCCTATTGGAAGTGCTGTACGAGTCTGGGGCAGCCTACGTTATTGTATTGTAAGAAAATGTATGTTATGCTGATACAGGCATCTGCTGTGTTACACTGCTATGTTAGCTAGACCAGGTGTGTGTGGGCTGCTAGGAATTGTGGTGCTCAGAAAGCGTATGGCCCGACTATGATGGTGAGCCGCAGCACAGAGATGGAGCGATAGTTCATGGGCAGATGGAGAGTGACCATCTCCAGGTCCACCACGTACTCCCTGGGGCCCGACAGAGACTTGGTTAGCACCAGCATGGCACTCACATTGCTGGAACGCTGCAAGAGATATGATAATTCAATAGGAATATAGGTTAATACCTATTTATCCCATATACTGTATGTACTTGTACATATATTTTTACTGATAAGCAAATGTGAACGTTCAAAAAAACTTATGGTAATCTAGCTAGACAGTTAACCTGCTATGCATCGGTATGTTATTGTAAGCATGTTAGCATGCTGTGTGTTAGCATTGAGGGTACAAGCTTTTTATACATCCATGACGTACGGACTAACTGTTGATTGTTTGTCTTGTTTGCATATAGTGACAAATGATATCTTGTTACAGCAAAACTGTTACTTCTGTGTTACATGGTTGATAAAATCAGTTTTGGAAATGTTTTGGAGGTGGAGTCAGGAAAAGGATAAAAGCGTCAGTAGGTGAGTAATGTTATTAACTTAGTTTTGAATTGCAGATATTGACAGCATCGTGACACTGATACAGTTGAGAATGTACTTTTGTCTCCCGTTACACTTCCCCCCAGCTTTTCATGTAACACAACAAAATGTTTACTTACCCTCAGGAAAAACTCTCCTGCCTCGTTCCCAGCTTTGATCCTGAAGGTGTTCTGTGTGTTTGAGTACATGTTGGTGGCCTGAATCTGGAAGATTTCTGCTGGTACGGTGCGCTCCGCCTGGATGCTCATGTATTTGTAGACAATTGACGGTGGGAGATTCAGGCACTCAGCCTGAGAGCGGCAGATACAGCGACTGCAAACACAAAACAGTTTAGACAATCTGTTCGAAACTGAAGGCACTACTTGATATTAAAAAGAAAGAACTGGATGAAGTTTACTGACTTTTCGGCGGTTTTGGCGTAAGGGGCCTCGCAGGGGTTTCTGGGATAGCAACGGAAGGCTCCGTAATAGTTCCAGCACATTTCATCTTCTTGGCAGTTATGGGTCCCCGACTCACACTCATTTATGTCTTGTGATTGGCAAAGTGACAGAGAGAGAAAAAAGAATTGAGTAGTTGTCAAAAATAGCTGCTTGACAATAGTATCCCCCACTTCCAAAACACATAAACTCTCCACGCTTCATGAAACCGAGCTGTAAAAACAGTGCAATTTGGGAACTGTGTCTTAGGGTTGTTCCTGAATATCCAGCAGCTGTGGAGGTGAAAGGAAACACAAGAGGGAAGCCTGCAGATCTGTAGTTGAGGGAAGCCCCCGATGTAACCCCACACAGGCCTTACTGCAACTCTTTCCCTGCAGCACCATGAAAATAACCCCATCAAACATGCCCCAAACCACAGGGCTATTTCTGGCACAGCAACCTAGATTCATCATCATAACACAACCAGCCGGATTCATGGCTCCCCCTATAAACCCTGCACCTGACCGAGGGGGGAGAGGAAAAAATAACAGCTCTCCCTTTGAGCGAGCGCCGGAGCTTCAAATAAATCCACTTCAAGAAACCAACATCATGCTTATAAATTCACAGAGGTGGCTGAGCAGGGCAACACCAAGTTTGTGTTGCTTAACCTCTGCATTCTTTCCATGACAGTACTGGGTGAGAGTGGCCTTCATTCCCGCTTGAGAGAGGTAAAATAAAGTCGGTGATAGCAGGATGATAAAGTTATCTTAAATAGTTAAAGAATAGAGGGAAGGGAAGAAGACATGAGGAACCTTTCTGATGTGAAAACAGAGGGGAGGGTTAGCTAGATAAATAAATACATTCAGAAGGGATAAAAAATAAGATTTATGAAAAAAAGGAGGACTGCAATACCTTGACACAACCTGTTTCCCTGCAGCTGATATCCTTCTGGACACTCACAGGAGTAACTTCCTGGGCTGTTAACACACTGGTACTGACACAGGAAGCTGGAGAAGCCGCATTCATCAATGTCTGTACAGGAAATATACACATTCAAACACTGATAAGATGGAGAACGAGGATAAGGCGGTGCACTTCGAAATCTTTTACAACCATGAATTTATCTGAAGATGTTTATCTATTTATGTAAAGTATATATTTGTGTGTGTGTGTGTGTGTGTGTGTGTGTGTGTGTGTGTGTGTGTACTCGACCGACGGACACGACGGAG